TTAAACTCTTTCGCTGGTTTATGGTGCTTTTCAAAATACTTTTGGTTGTACGACTGAGACTTCTGAATTGCGACCTCTGCTTTTGCTCTTATATCATCTAAACTTTTTTGCTCTTTGGCATAAACTTCATGCAAATACTCTGTTAGTTCATCAACCACTTCACCACGCTGTTCAATACCGAACAACATTCGACTTGGCGTCTGTTTTGTAGTAAAATTTACAGTGTTATTCACAGCAAACTCAACATCTGACAATTTCTTTTTCCAATCAGTATGACTTATGGGGTCGGTTATTTTAGCCAACACTGCTTTCATAACACGGTTAACTCTTTCCACCTGACCATTGGATTGTGGTGAGGCGACTGCATTTTCGATATGTATTATGTTTCTCTCCTGCAAAAACTCCCCAAACTCCTTTGATTTGAGACCCGTTCCACGATCATTAATAATTCTCTTCGGACGACTGTATTCCGCAAAATATTTACGAAGTGCGCAAATCGTTTCTTTTGTACCGGTGTTAACAGCATATAGTTTGGTAAACTTGGTGAAAGCGTCGATCACCACCAACACATGCTTATGCTTCGAATTTACTGTCTCCAATGGACCGAAATGTTCAATATGCAATGTATCGAATGGCTCTGGCTTCTTTGGTATACTGTACATATTACGCTCGTTTTTCCGCGCAGGAGTTGAATAGTAGATACACTTCAAGCAGTTTCTGATAAATTTGTTCACCTTTTCACGCATGTGTGGGAACCAATAGTGTTTCTGTATTTGGTTCGTGCACTTGTCAATACCCAAATGACCATATTTCTCATGTATCGATCTAATTATGCTCGTTTCCATTTCATGTGGCACGTACAACTGTTGATTTTCACCGCTGACACGAAAGACCAATCCATTTTCAAGTTCATATCCCGTTACCTCTTCTGTTTCCAACTTCTGTCTTAGCTGCTGAATTTTTCCATCACGCGTCTGTGCTATCTGTATATTCAAATCAACTTCGCCCTCCACAATGGCATTGTTGGTGACAATGCTGCATACATTCAGACCCACACGACTTAATGCATCAACATGTGCCATCTGATGGCCCGGCCGATGACGTACTGTAAAGTTATAATTTGCCAGTCCCAATGTCCAACGTGCAATGCGAGGATTAATTAATTTCTTTTCCAATGCCATAACCAATGAATTACAATCGGTCACAATAACGAATTGCATGCCGTCCAAAAATGTTCTAAATCTTTCTAATGCATTTACAATAGCCAACGTTTCCAATTCAAAACTATGATAGCGCGATTCCGCTTCTGTTGTGGTTTTCGAAAAATATGCAACTGGGTGGAATTGTTTATCGTCTTGCTTCTGTAATAATGCTCCTCCATATCCACGTGAACTGGCATCTGTATGTAACTCTGTCTCTCGTTTCGGATCAAATATGGCCAATACAGGTGCCTCTGTTAACTTCTTTTTCAATATTAAAAATGCCTCCATGCATTCATCTGTCCACTCAAATTTTGTCGGGCAATTCTCGAAAAATCATAAACAAATCGTCTAAAATATGAAAACAATCCAACGCATCGCTGTGTTTCTTTTGCATCTGTAGGTACCTTATAATTTCTGATCGCGTTTAAATGTGCTTCATTAGGGCGAATATCATGCTCATTTACAACATAACCCAAATACTCTATCTTTTTTAGATTCAACTTTAATCCAAAACGGAGGTTATGTCAACTGACAGACCTTGTTGTTTACTAGCACTGTGTTCGTAATTTTGTTTGTTTTTTATTATTAAAACTGTATATATGATTTTAAAAAATCGATAAAACTGACAAATAAAGTGTTTTGTATCGGTGAAATATCGAGTTCAGCGAATATAAACATAATAAAATTGATTTTTGTTAGAAATAAACTCTATAGCAAGTGCACTGTGTATTGTGATTTTGCTGTGTCATAATGACACCAAAACACAAATGTAATCGTGATGACTGTTCGACCGAAAATGTAAACGGAATGAAAACCAAATGCATTAAATGTGGAAACTTGTGTTATTTGAAATGTTTCGGATTGGGAAAAAGTGAAAACATTGAAAACACCGAAATAGTGAAAATTCCATTGCCGAATGGAAGTTCCATGTTTGCTTTTTTACCGTTTTGTGCATTTGTTTGTTTTGCCGACGCTGTGTCAAACGGTGAATTGAAAAAATCTCTGAAATTGCCAAAAGCTACCCGCTCAACGTCAAAATCACGTCAATCGGAAAGTAATGAGATATCAATGCAAATAATTAATGAAATGAAATTGCTACGAAAATCAATTGATGAAAATGGAGAGAAAATTGACAGAATCGATGAAAAAACCAATGTCATTCACCAAGCAACTGATGTGTTAGTGAATAAAGCCACCAGACCGTCTCTTTTACAGCGTGCTGAAAAACAGCAATTAACACCGAAACCAACGAATTTAAGTGATTTTCAATCCCCGTCGACATCGAAACAATCCACATTTGCCACAGTCGTGCGAAAAAATCAATCGGCCAAACGTCAACGAGTTGAAGAACCAGCGCCAAAAAAGAATGTACCGGCAGCGAAAATTGGAACCAAATCAGTTCAATGCACATTAACTGTCTCACCGCCAAAGAAACGCGAAGAAAAGCCAAAGTTTGAAAGGGCAGTTTGGGTATCGAGATTTCGGCCTGAAGTGACAAATGAACAAGTTATTGATTTAATTGCCGAAAATACGTCCATCAATGACAAAAATCGAATCAATGTGCACAAACTTGTGAAAAAAGACTGTGATTTGTCATCATTAAAATTCGTTTCGTTTAAAATTGAATCAAATGCCGAAGACTTCGAAATATTAAATGATCCAAATATGTGGCCTGAAAATATCATGGTGCGTCCGTTTTTACAAGATTTGACATTGTCAAATTATTTCCCGGCTTTAAACGAAACAGTGAACAGAAAATCGAATGTCGAACCAATGAATGTATCGCCGGGCAAAATGAAATCACCGAGCTCAATGTCACCAACAACGAAAACATCCAGTTAAAAACATTGCAACAAAATGATCATTCTACGCAATTTGTTCCTAATTACACAAAATTGAATGTGTATATACAAAATACACATTCAATTAGAAACAAAGTCGATGAAATACGATTAGCAACAAAATCATGTCCATTTGAAGTGATTTCTTTCTTCGAAACGTGGTTGTCAGAATCTATTTCGGACATTGAGCATTTCGGGAAACGATATAATGTATACCGTGGAGATCGGAGTGAAATCACAAGTGACAGAATCGACGGTGGTGGTGTTCTGATCGCAGTGGATTGCAGATTCAACAGTGAAAAAGTGGTTTTATCTGAGAACAGTGGCCTTGAGCATATATGCGTAAAAATTTCTCTCGTTTCGTGTAATGTATTTGTATTTGCGGTGTACATTCGGTCGGTACATGAGACGGAAAAATTCTTGGAGTTCGCCGACATCGTGAAATTGATTCCATTCAACGAAAATGACATTGTAATTGTGTGCGGTGATTTCAATCAACCCGGTGTCAAATGGATCAAAGCCGATGATGGTGATTATTTTCTGCCAATGAACGTGTTGACAGAGGGTGGCATTGCAGTTTTTGACACAATGTTCGATTGTGGATTCCACCAATTGTCAAATATCGAAAATCCAGCCGGAAATGTTTTGGATCTTGTATTCACAAACAAGTTTTATGAAATGTCATTGATGGAATCAACCAAACCATTGGTTAAACCTGACAATTGGCACAAGGCAATCGAAATCGAATTCACAATTGATGGAAATGCACCATCAACACATCAATCATCGCAAATATATGCGTTTAACTCAGCTGATTTTGATGCAATGAATGCATTCTTCATTGAAAATGACATTTTGTTGGGAATAAATCGAATTGATGACCTCGAGAATGCATTCCAAATTTTTGGCAATGTTCTACACGAGGCAATAGACTCATTTGTTCCAAAGATCACCGTACAAAGAAGCACTGACCCACCATGGTACACGAAACAACTTAAGCATATGAAAAATATCCGAAGAAAAGCGTACAAACGAGCAAGGGAGACTAGCAATTTCGACGAATACAATGCCATCTCCGATTCGTTCATGCAGTTACAAGGGCAGCTCTTCGAATCATACATCAGCCGCATACAATCACAAATCAAATCAAATCCAAAATATTTTTGGCGATTTGTGAACGACCGAAGAAAGAGAAGCGATATTCCTGCTATTGTTGAATACAACAATGAAATTGCAAACACCGAAACGTCGAAAGCAGAATTATTCGCTGATTTTTTCGAAAATCAATATACACAGAGCGACAGTATCGATTTGGATCAATTGCTGGATGAATGCGGTGATCTCTCGTTTGACATCGAAATCAATGAACATGATGTATTGAGGGCATTGCAATCGATCAACGTAAGCAAAGGAGCCGGTCCAGATGGGGTATCGCCGAAACTACTGAAAAACTGCGCACACTCATTGGCAAAACCATTGACAGTGCTATTCTGTAAGTCTTTGGATCAAGGAGGTGTTCCGGCATCGATGAAAAACTCTCGAATAGTACCAATATTCAAATCTGGGAAAAAAAGCAATGCATCGAATTACCGGCCAATAGTGATAATACCAACGATTGCAAAACTATTCGAAATGGTGGTTCATGGCAAAATCGATTCGTAAAAAATCATGGATTCGTAAAAAATCGATCAACCTCAACAAATTTACTGCAAAAAGTAAATTTCACGATGGACTCAATGGTCGAAAAATGTATGGATACTTGACAGCCCGAACACAATTTGTTGGAATCGGCGAAAGAATGTCACGGACTTTCACCGTATCGTCAGGCGTACCAGCGGGAAGTATATTGGGACCATGTCTTTTCATTATTTTTATAAACGATATTGTTGAAACTGTGTCAAATGCTCTTGTTTTGCTATTTGCAGACGATTTAAAGTTGATTCGGAAAATTCGCTCTCCCGTTGATGCCGGTAATTTTCAAAATGCCATTGATCAGTTGGATGTTTGGTGCACACAAAACAAACTCTACTTGAATCTGAGAAAATGTTTCGTCATGACGTATGCAAGAGGTGGAAACATAGTCAACTACGATTATACGATCAACAATGGACAACATACGTTTGAACGAGTGAATTTACATAAGGATTTGGGAGTGATATTTGACACCAGGCTAACCTTTGTCAACCACATCGATGCGATTACAGCCAGTGCGCATGGAGCATTGGGTTTTATAAAACAAACACTGAAAAATAAGTTCACAATCGAATCGGCAAAAATATTATATTTAGCACTAGTAAGATCAAAATTGGAATACGCAAGTATTGTATGGCAGCCATACCATCGTATCCACTCCGACAGAATAGAGTCAATTCAAAAAGATTTTGTGATATGGACATTAAGATTTATATATCAAAGAGATGAGAATTATGTATTGCCACCGTATCAGTTTAGATGTGATGTTTTAAATATTCAACCGCTTTGGAGACGGCGTATAAATACCTCTATATTTTTAATTTACGATCTGTTATTAGGTAAAATATTGTAAAATTCGCTTAGAGATAAGATTGTATACACAAGACAGCAATATAACGTGAACCAAAGAAATTTGAGAAATACAGAACTTATTAGAGTACGAATGTTTACATCGGACTATGTACATAATCAGCCATTTTACGTAGCATGTAGGAATTTCAATTTAATACGAGAACAATTTTTTGAATCGGCATCAAGAGAAATTTTTAGGAATAATATTGTTCATTTAGACAATTTGATGTTTAATAATCGGTGAACAGATAATTTTAAAGAATGTATGGAGACGAAAAAGATTACACAATGAACACAATCGATGTCTGCTGCTCCGAAGTCGAAAAGACTGGTAGCTGGATATTCGATCGGGTGGTGTCTCATTGTAAACGATATTGTGCAGGGTTTGTGATGGGTTCGGTCTGTGATCAGACGGTGAATAAATAAATAATAATAATAATAATATCCAGCCTCTGCTAACAATGTCAATACGCTTGTCAATATCTCCATGTGCTCCTCAATCGTTTTCGTAGCTATATTTATATCATCCAAATACACGACAATTTTTCCTGCATCAATCAACTCTCTCAAAACCAGACTAATAAATCGCTGAAATACTGGTGGTGCATTCGTCAAACCAAACGGCATGTAAACATATTCGTACTGACCCATCGGAGTCACAAATGCTGTTAATTCAATAGAATCTGGATGCATCGGCACCTGATGGAAGCCATTCCTCAAATCCAAAGCGCTAAAATACTTCTTACCACCGCCCGAATATTCCAAACAGTCTTCAATCAACGGCAACGGAAAATGATCTCTTACTGTAAGCTTATTCAATGCACGGTAATCAACACACATTCTCAATTCACCATTCTTCTTTCTGACCAACACAATTGGCGATGCATAATGCGAGCTACTTGGTCTAATAATACCCTGTTCCAATAAATCATCAATTGCCTTCTGTACTTCAATCTTTTCTTTGTATGACAAACGACGCGGGTTACTGTATACTGGTTCATCATTCTTCAGTTTAATTTGCATAGAATAACTACTGAACTTATGGTTTACCCCCTTTGTTTTCACGTGGTTTCGATAAATGGTTGATTTCAGAGCATCTGCATGTTTCTTATCCAATTTCTTGTTAATATCAATTAATTTATCAAACTCATCTGTCTCAGTCACACTTACCAACAAAATTACTTCATCATAATCAATCAATTCTTCTGTTTCATTTAAATTAATTACACCGATATTTATCAAATCGAGTTTCACAACTTTTCAAGTCATCAACAATGTTTACCTCTGGTTCGATCCGTTTACTTACACTAGATCTCTTTCCAATTTGCTTAACAACTGCCTCTGTATTCTTAAAACTATATGTGGTTGGTACCTCTGTAATGCTATTATTCGGACTCTTAAACAAATTAAACAACTTAAGTGCACTGGTACTTTTGGGCATTTTATTCTTCATATTATTTCTAATTTTAATTAGCTCACAGGCTGTATAAATGTATGATTTCTTTTGGCATAAATATATTATAATTATTTTGTTTATTCATAAAGGCAACACTTACCATTTGCATCGATGACAACTGCGTTGCTAAACGGCGTACTTCGTTCTCATCCTCTGCGATGTCCCAATTGTCTTGGTAATTTGTTTCTGGTGGCGGATTTCCAACCGTTGCGACCGCATTTGGTTCACTGGCTTCTGACTTCTTCTTTTTCGGGCATTCATGACGTGTATGACCGACCTCATGGCATATGAAACACGAATTTGGTGGCCGTTTTGTAGCCGTGCACTTGCTCTGGTAATGCCCATAATTGAAACAGTTGTAGCAACGAATTCCCGACAAATCAATTTCACCAACACTTTTCGGTGCACTACCGCTGGCACTTGCAATGGCACGTGTATTTGCACTGGCATCTGGCACATATGGCTTCTGTTTCATTGTTGCGGCTGGCATGGAACTTGATCTTTTCATAACGTTCTGTCAACAATTTCAATTCGACCATCGACGAGCACCGTACAAAATTGATGCATGCACACTTTTGTCGTTTAGGCCACTGATGATCAAATCAATTAAGTCGGCTTGCAATGTGTTGCATTTCGATTATATATTCACGTGGTGTTTCATCTGATTTGATTACACGACCCTTCAATTGGTTGAAAACATCCTGCACGGTGTATGCACGCTTGTATTCGGTCAACAAGGCTTCCTTGAATTGATCGTACGAAAATGCCGTTGTAATTTCTGCGAAACGTTTTGCACGGCCAGTCATCAAATGTCGCGTGGCAACCAATTTATCACGTTCTCTGTAACGGAACATTACAAACACATTTTCCAAATTCCCGATCCATTTTGTTACATCGTGCAATTCGGTGCCATCAAATTTATTGACCATTGCGTCAAGCACGTGTAGATCAATTTTTCGCGTTTCGATTTGTACCAATTCCCGTTGCAATTCCAACAATTCACGCTTTTTCCGTGCAATGGACAATTGTCGATCGATTTCGGCTTCTTCTGCGTTCCAATCTAAATTCAACCGATTGTGAACACTTACATTTGCATCTGGTTGCGTCTGTTGCATCTGTTGTTGTTGTTGTAAAGCTTCACGTTGTTGTCGCTGTTCATCTGTTTCGTCTGGGTTATTTTGCATCTGTTGTACACCATCCGGTCCCAATTCATTCAACTGAACACGTTGCTGCACGTTATTTCCACGATTTTGCCCAATTCCCGCAATTAAATCGTCATAAAATGGTCGTAATTGCACCATTGTTGCTTCTGGATCAAACACAATGCCGGCCTCTGTTAATGCACGCACCATATCTGCACGTCGTAATGAATTTGCCATCGTAACAAAATCCAAAAAAATATTCAATTTCCGTAATTAATCGAATAAAAATAATACGTTCTTATTAAAGTTCGGCACGTTCTCTAACGAATCCCGCTTCTGAATTTGTAATAAATCTCAAACTGACGCCGATGATTGTTGATTTAATAATTTAACTTTATTAAATACTCTTATAAGAGAAGACAACGTTGTGCACGGCTTGAATGCTCAAGATAGAATAGAATGAATGACAGCGCACATCTGAGCTACAAGTGTCACTTTCACACAACTCAGCTACATTTACCATTTCGCCACATTCATGCATCGGGCAACATTTGACAATTCCATTTCATGCTCACACTCATACATACATAATTCACATCATGCTCATACTCATACATACTCACGCGTACTTCAATAACATTACAGAATACATCTATCAGTCATCGTCTCTTTGCGGAAAATATCGAAATCAAAACGGTCATTGATCCTTGATATTTTTAGGTCAAGAAATGGTATAGAACCATCGCGTTCCATTTCCATTGTAAACTTTATTCTTGGATTCACACCATTCATATAAACCAAGAAATCCTCTGCTTTGTCTTTGTCGATGACGATGAATGTATCATCAACGTATCTGTGCCAGATGGGTGGAAAATCTGGACAGTTTTGTTTCGCTTGTGTTTCAAATGATACACTAAATGACATAAAACACTGGGCTGCAAAAGCTGAGAGAGGATTTCCCATTGCCAATGAATCGCGTTGTTCATAAACAGTGTCATTAAATTGGAAATAGCAAGTAGATAAACATAAGTGAACCAAGCGCATATATTCATCGATCTTTACATGATCAATATTTAATGATTTTAACCAGTTTAAAATTGATGATTCTGCCTGTTCAACGGAAATATTAGTGTACATAAATTCTACGTCAAGTGATATAACGTCGAACTAAAATTAACGGAATACTTTCAAATGTCGTACAAATGGGTTCATCATGAAAGTGTGAAAAATCCTTTCTCGGGTACTTCTGCTATTAAATTAAAGAATATTTCGATGCCAAGGTTTGAACGGTCGCCAGTTTTGTCCAGTGATGGTTTTTTCCTATCTGGAAAGCGCTAGCTATTCGCAGCGCCTGTACAGCATTGCTGCCCAGATGCTGAATCGTAGCGGTTGCCGCACGCGCAACACACTTCGTTTGTACCACAAAGAGCATATACGTTCGCGTTCGTTCTCTGTTCGACATGCGTTTGTATACTGACTATGGTATTAGTGTATCATACTCTGTGAGCTCACTGGTTACT